TCTTAACTTATTTCAGCACTAACTCAAAAGTCCAAAGTCCAGACTCTCATCTGAATCAGACACGGGCAAGACTCAAGACATTCTTCTTCTGGGACATATTCAAACCACAGCACCACTATGTGGGAAATAGACTATAGAGAGCAGGTAGAAGAGAGATTACTTAGGAGGCTACTGCAACAGTCTAGGCAAAAAGTGATGGCAGCCTTTTGCCTGGATAGAGTGGAGGGTGGAGGGTGATACTGATTAGGTTGACACAGTATTTTGAATCAGATTAAGGTGGATTTGTTTGGGACTAGCGGCGAAGAACAAAGTTCAGGATGACTCTGAGATTTTGGTCTTAGCAACTGAGTGAATGATGGTGCCGTTAACTGAGATGTGGCACATTAGGGAAGGCACAGATTTAGGATGAAGGGAAATCAAGGGCTCAGCTTTGAGAAACTTTAGTTTGAGACACTTGTTAGACATCTGAGGAGATATTTACTCAGCCTCAGTCTAGGCTACCTGGAGTGCAGGGGCGAGTATAGAGTAGAAGGTTAAATTTGGGAATCTTTAATATGTAAATGGTGTTTGAAGCTATAGGAAAGAATAAGATTCAGGTCCTGTCTCTAATTTATATTTCCAGTAAGGTATAGGGAGGGAGTGCCTTGGAGGAATAAGACCACTTAGGTGAGTGTAGGGAAGAGGATGCTGGGCCAGTGGGCGTGAAATGCTGTAGGTAGGAAGGGGAAGCCAAAAATTGCCCATCACATCTGGCAATGTGAAAGTCTTATGATTAGATGGGACACCTGTTAGCAGGTGAAAGCCTGGCTGGAGTGAGCTGGTGAGAGAGAGCAAGAGAGAGATTGAAAGTATGTGGGACAATTCATTTACATAACACTTTAAAGGAGTTTTGTTGTAAATGAGAAAAGGGAAATGGGTTGGTTGTTAAAAGGGGGATTGAGGAGATTTTGAAATACTTTTAGAACACGTCTTCTTAATTTAAATTTAATTTAGTCTAATTTTAAATAACCTTCACTGAGATATGCTTCACATGTCATCAAATTCAACCACTGTAAGTGTGCAATTCAATAATTTTTAGTAAACTGCGCTATGTTGTGCAGACCTTACCATAAACCAGGTTTGGAATATTTCTAGAACCCCAGTGAAATCCTTTGTGCCCATTAGCAGTTAATCCAGTTCCCACCTTTAGCCCCAACCAAATGCTAGCCTACCTTTTGTCTCTATAGATTTGTCTCTATGGGACTGTCATAGTAATGAAATCATATAATATATTATTTTGTGTGTCCAACTTCTTTCACTTAGCTTGGGGTTCATACATGTGGTAGCAAGTATCAATATTTTGTTTCTTTTTATTGCTAAATAGTATTTCATTGTAAGGACATGATATATTTCATGTATACGTTCAAAAATTGATGGGCATCTGGGTTGTGCAAGATTATTGTTAGTGTATTAGACTTTTCAGACTGCAATAAGAAAGTGGTACAGACTGGGTGGGGTGGTCTATACAACAAATTTTTTTCCCCCACAGTTCTGGAAGTGGAAAGTCTGGATGGATTTTGGTGAGACCCCTTTTCCTGGCTTGCAGATGGCTATCTTCTTCCTGTGTCCTCCTGTGGCTGTTTCTCTGTGTGTGGAGGGGAGGGTCAAATGGGGAAAAGGGAAAAGAGAAAGAGAGAGCACAGGCGAGCAAGTGTGCACGCTGGCGTCTCTGCTTCTTAAAATGACACCAGTCTGATTGAACTGGGGTCCTTAAGACCTCATTTAACCTGAATTCCTACCTGAAAGGCCCTGTTTCTAAATAAAGTCACATTGGGATTAGGGCATTAACATATAAATTTGGAAAGGCAGTCCCAACTCAGTCTGAAACAGGGATAGTACGTCATGCTTGTGGATCAAATGAGAACAATCTAACACAGTGTTTCTCAAACTCAGGACTGTTAACACCTTGGACTAAATAATCCTTTGTTGTGGGGAACTGTTCTGTGTATTGTAGGGTGCTTAGCAGCTTCCCTGACCCCCACCCCACTAGATCCCAGTAGCACAATCCCAAAATTGTTCACGGGTATTGTCAAATGTTCTTGTTGGGGGCAAAGTCACCCTCGGTGATGAAGCATTGATGGAGTAGAAGGGAAATTAATAAGGCAAGTGAGAGAAAGAAGAGATAATTCCAAGAGCAAAGTCTTTGGGTGGGCAAAGGAGATGGGATGCAGTGTAGTCACCAGCCCTAGATGGGAGGGAGCCGAGGGAATTCATCCAGAGAGACCGGAGGAGGGACACATAGGCAAATGAGCTGGTAGATGTGCAAAATAGGGGTGTGTGCATGGATTTTCTTCTTATACTTGTATTCTGAGTAAAACTGGTCATCTATGGAAGGGACAGAACTTTGTACCACATACTGGAGAACCCCCAACACTGTTTTATTGAAGACTTTCTCTGAGAAAAAGAGAGTTGTTATTTTCTTGGTAACTAATATTAAACACATTCTTCCTTCTTGGAGTTCATAGCACATTGCTTAAGTGACTTATTATAGTCCAACACATCTTGGAGTTCTTAATGTACATGCCCTGCCAGATGGTAAGTTACTTGATGATGGGAACTATTAATATCTTGTGCATATTTGTGTCTCCTCCAGCAAATAGCTCAGTCCACAGTAGGTACTCAACCAATGTTGCATGGATATGAATGTCCCCCCAAATTGTATACTCTTTAATTTCTGAAAAATTTTCCTCATTCAACTAGAAACTCTCTTAGCACTGACTGGGAGACAAAATGGTTTGCTGGAGAAATTGACACCTACTTGTTATAATTTGGGAAAAGCTTTCAATTTTTTCAAAGAATAATCTCATCAATAACACTGGGTAGCATAAATCAGTACTTCTTGAGCTTCAGTTTCCATACAAATCAGTTGGTAGTTCTGTTTAAGTGCAGTTTCTGGCTCAGCAGGTCTGAAGTGAGGCCTGAAATTCTGCATTTCTAGAAAGATCCCAGATGATGTTGATGTTCATGGTTCACAGACCACCATTTGTTCAGTAGTGTCCACAAAAGATTAGGTTGCAGATGTGATCAGAAGGGCTTAATCAAAGAGTGTCAAGGTCAAGGCCGAAGGTGGGAGGGAGTTTCAGGGTTGCAGTGATAGAGCAGAGAACACAGGTACCTTCTGACTTCCTCAAACTCGGGTGGACACAATAGGAATGAGTGTCTTGCTATGTGATCAGAATTTGAATTGGCCTTGGTAGGGAAATGCCTTGATGCGTGTAAAGCTGAAAAACATGATCATGAATCAGCTATACATGTGCCCTGATTTGGAAATCAAGTGTTAAAGGAGATTGAACAATTAGAAGCTGAAGTATTCTCCAGTAAATTTAGCACTGCCCAGAACTGTGCTAGAATTATTCACCTAATTTTGAGTTACATGAATCCAGAAAGATGCAGAGAACTCAAAGAAGGTTCAGGCAAGAGCCTCACGGATTGTTAAAATGTTGAGAAATAATATTTTCTGCTTAGAGGAGAAGGCTCCATGGTGATTTGATAGTAGTATTTCATCCACAGAATGATGTATTTTGCAGAGGGTGTTGAGCAGTTCTTCTATATTTCTCTTGCAACTGACTCACATGAGCCTTTAAACCAGCGGTTCTCAACCTGTGGCTCGTGACTATATTAAAGGCTCGCGGCATTAGGAAGGTTGAGAACCCTGCAACTGTGCTAAGGGTGATTTTGGTTGGATATAAAAGAAGTACCTGATAGAGAAGGTTTTTAAGCATTGAAATGTACCTCCAAGGAAAGTTCTTGAATACTTTTCCTGCTAGAGGGCTTTTTCTATTCAGTGGGGATTGTTCAGTGGAGTCCTACTTGAAAAGAGAGAGATGGCATGGCTAAAATCATGAACCCTATCTACCAGAGGCACTCTAGGCTGCTGAGGACTAAAAAAATTGAAGAAGAATTGGTTATTTTCCTTCTCAGGGTATCCTGAAGGTCCCTGAAAATACCAGTGCCAAGGGATCACTCAGGGATATTGTAGCTGAGAACTACTAAGCCTCCTGGACAGATTGAATGAGTCAGGAGACTGGGATGTGTATGGTAGCATCTAGATAAGATTCCAGGTGTTTCACACCTCCTCTTTCTGGTTTGGTTCCTCAGAGGCAGTATTGAAACCACACCAGTAAAATAGAGTCTTACCCAAGCATACAGCATGCCGGGGGTCATGCAGAGCAGGGGCAGTGATTCATATTCTTGTGAAGTCCTACAGCTAATGTACCTGATGACACACTCAGGTGGGTGGAAATCAGAGCATGGTACAAACTGGAGAGCTCATTCTACAGGAGAGAGCAGCTGCTCAGATGCAGTCACATGGCTACCACTTAGGGATGCGGGCCTCACACCGTGAGATCTCTTGAACTTTCAAAAGAAGTCAGAAATCTGGGTTTTAAGTACATATTTTCTCATTTTAAAATACACTGGCAAATAAGAAAAGATAGAAAATTTACATCTTTTGTATTTACCATGATGCAGTTGAAATTCATTATTCTTAGTAAAGTATCACAAGAATAGGAAAAAAAGCATCCAATGTACTCAATACTAATATGAAACTAATATATAAACAACTAAACAAATATGCAACCACATGAAAGAAAAACAAGTATAGTCTGGTTGGACGGGAGAGGAGGCAGGGGAGGGGGGAAGAGGGAGGGTGATTGACAGAATCTTACCTAATGTGCACAATGTAAGGGTGTTCAGCTTACCCCCTGTGTGAAGGGCTCAACTACAACTTGAATTTTACCTCAAAAGTGGAAATAATATAACCTAAACATTTGTACCCTCATATCAATCTGAAATAAAAAAAATAGATTGACAAGTGCCCATAGATGGGTAATGGGTGAGCCAAACGTAGTGTAGTCACACAATGGACTATCATTCAGCCTTAAAAAGGAAGGAAGGGAAAAGGCTGGATGCTGAAGTATTGTTGAAGGTTCAGTTCTCAGTGTTGAAAAACTGTGGGCAAAATGCCGGAGTGAGACAGTGAGCCATTTTCTAATCCTTTGGCCCCAGATGGCCATAATGTGGATGATCTTGCTCCTTTCACCAATCAAAACTCACCAAAGAAGACTTCAGGAAACTTCTCATGATGCCAAGGGCTGCACCTACTTCTGCACCACCTTCTAAGTCACGTCATCATGAGATTCCAAGAGAATACAATGAGGATGAAGATCTAGCTGCAAGGAGGAGGAAAAAGAAAAGTTACTATGCCATGTTGTGTCAATAAGAAATTGAGAGAGAGAGAGCTAGCAGAGAAATACGGGACTGTGCCAAGGAACACAGAGACAGTGTGAACAAAGATTATGAGGAAACTGAGCTCATCAACACCACAACTAACTACAGAGCTGTGGGCCCCACTGCTGAGGAGGACAAATCAGCCACAGAAAAGAGAAGACAATTGATCCAGGATTCCATATTCTTGGTTGGTGATATGGAACACACCTATTTGGTGAAAGGCTTGGATATTGCTCTGCTTCAGAAGGTATGAGCTGAGATTGCCAGCAAAGAAAAAGAGGAAGAGGAACTGATGGAAAACCCCAGAAGGAAACCAAGAAAGATGAAGATCTTGAAAATAAAATTGAATTTAAAACACATCTGGGGCTCAATGTTTACCATATGCTTGCTTTTCAAGAGCAAAGCTTATGAGTAGAATGAGCTATTTCTGCCAGGCCCCATGGCCTATGTGGTAGACCTGGATGATGAATATGCTGACATGGATATCCCCACCACTCTTATCTGTGGCAAGGCTGATTGTCCTACCATGGAAGGCCAGACCATACTGACCACAAATGACATTGTCATCAGCAAGCTCACCCAGATCCTTTCATACCTGAGGCAGGATACTCACAATAAGAAGCTCAAGAAGAAGGATAAAGGGAAACTGGAAGAAAAGAAACCTCCTGAAGCTGCCATGAACATTTTTGAAGACATTGGGGATTACATTCCCTCCACGACCAAGACATCTAGGGACAAGGAGTGTGACAGATATCGGGAACGGGAGTGTGATTGGGAGAGAGACAGAGACTGTGACCAAAAGCAGGAACGAGAACCAGAGCGGGACACAGAGGGAGAAGAGGAAAAGAAGAGGCACAGCTACTTTGAGAAGCCAAAAGTAGACGATGAGCCCATGGATGTTGACAAAGGACCTGGGTCAGCCAAGGAGTTCATCAAGTCTATCAGTGAAAAGTTTGCTGGGTCTGCAGGCAGGGAAGGCACTGAATCACTAAAGAAGCCAGAAGACAAAAAGCAGCTGGGAGACTTCTTTGGCATGTCCAACAGTTATGCAGGGTGCTACCCAGCCACGATGGATGACATGGCTGTGGGGAGTGAGGAGGAGGTGATTATAGCAAAATGGATCAGGGTAACAAGAAGGGCCCCTTAGGCCACTGGGACTTTGATATCCAGGAGGAATCCAGTGAATGTATGAACAACAAGGAGGCCTTGCCTAAGGCTGCATTCCAGCATGGTATCAAGATGTCTGTCTGAAGGGTGGAAAACCAGGTGCTGCAAAGAAACCAATGACAAGGCAGAGCTTGATCGTCAGTGGAAGAAAATTAGTGCAATCATTGAGAAGAGGAAGAAGATGGAACTGATGGGGTTGACGTCAAAAGACCAAAATACTAATCTCTAATTTAATAGTCATTCTCCAAAGGAGAATTTCCACAAAGATATGCTCCCCACTGCTTGCTTTCTACAATTTCCAGAAAGGTTGCAATATGTTTTTTGTGAATGTACATAAAATGTTATTGTTAATCATTTGGTTCCATTAAAATTGGTTAACCTGCCCCCCCCAAAAAGGAAGGAAATTCTGACACACGCTACAACATGGATTAAACATGAGGACATCATGCTAAGTGAAATAAACCAGACACATAAAGACAAATCTATATGAGTCTATTTAGTTGAAGTATAATATCATAGAGACAGGAAGGAGAATGGTGTTTGCCAGGGTCTGGTGGGAGGGAGGATGGGGAGTTAGTGTTTAATGGGGGCAGAGTGTCAGTTTTGCAAGATAAAAATTTCTGGAAATGGATAATGGTGATAGTTGCACAACAATATGAATGTTACTTAATACCACCGAACTCTGTACTTAAAAATGGTTAAGATGATCAATTTTGTTAACTGTATTTTATTCTCCCCTCCACAAATTGGAAGACAGAAGCATATGATTCAGCAATCTTTACTCCTGGGAATATATACAAAGGAATTCAAATCTGGATCTCAAAGAGATATTTGCACTTCCATGTTCATTGCAATATTATTCACAATAACCAAGATATGGAAACAACCTAAATGTGTACTAGTGAGCAAATGGATAAAGAAAATATCGTATGTCTAGTCATCCCTCAATATCCTAGGGTAATGGTTCCAGGACTCCTGAGGCTACCAAAACCCAAGGATGCTCAAGTCCCTTACAGAAAATTATAGAAAATGATACTGAGTAGGCTGTATGCAAATACTAGTATACATTAAATCACCTCTAGACTATTTATAATACCTAATAGAATGTAAGTAACTGTTATACTGTATTGTTTTTATTCGTATGTTTTATTGTTTATTTTTCCCCAACATTTTCTCAATTCACATTTGGTTTAATCTACAGACATTAAACCTGCGGGTTTGGAGGGCCAACAGCACACACAATAGAATGCTACTCATCCATAAAAAGAAGGAAATCCTACCATTTGTGACAACATGGATGGACTTGGAGGACATTATGCTAAGTGAAATAAGCCAGAAAGAAAAATACTGCATGACCTCTCTTATGTGTGGAATCTAACTGTCAAACACATAGAAGCAGAGAGTAGAATGGTGGTTGCCAGGGCCTGGGTGGTGGTGGGGGAGAAGTATTGGTCAAAGAGTTCAATTTACACAGTCTCAGTTATGCAAAATACGCAAATTCTGAAGATTTACTGTACAGCATAAAGCATGTGATTGACAACACCACATTGTATACTTAACTAAACATTTACTTGGAGGGCAGATCTTATATGTTCTAACCATGAAAAGAAAAACAAACAAGCCCAGAGGTGACAGGAAGAAATTTTTGGAGGTGATGGAAAAGTTCATGGCACGTTAATAGTGATGATGGTTTATGGGTTTTCACTTGTCTCTAAAACACATCAATTATATACATTAAATATCTACAGCTTTTTTGTATGTTAATCATGCCTAAATAATGCAACTAGACAACTGGAAAAAAATGTTTGGGCGATTAGTACAGATTCTGAATAGCCCCACGTTGGTCAACACAGCAGAGTCTAAGCTAGCCCAGGTGCGTCTGTAGTTGGTCTATGGTCATGAGTCTGACACCTCCAATATAAACCAAGAACTGATCTGTGACTGATGACAAAGAACCACAGGGAATCCAAACCCTCAGAGACAGTGCCAGCCACAGTACTGGGATTTTGCCCTATCTCACAGGGCCAAAATTACAAAAGGGTCTACTGTATAACTTTTTAAAATTTGGATGAATTATGTAAAACAGATGGTCCACTGAATTAGCGGGCTAGCTGCAGCTGTGCAGACATATCTTCTCATACACCTGTAAGATACCACTCACCTGTCCTTCCCACATGAAAAATACAAAAAAAAAGTCAACAATCAGAGAAACCCAACCTTGAGGCTGGATCCCTTTCGGGGAGACAAACACCAGAGTGTATTCTGAAGATCCATTGACTTGCTTGGGATGAGAAGCTCCATCTTCAGGCATTCTGAATGGGTGAAGCTAGGAACTGTAAAGAACAAATTCTGCAAAGTTCACCCAAGTAGGACCGATGGAGACAGTGTTGGCAGTAGTTGGTTCCCCAGCTCTGGGTACAGAGTGCTTTGGGAGGAGGAAGCACAGCAGATAACATCTGCTTTCTCAGAGCTTTGGCACACAATGGCGTTACAGTGTTTTTGTTACGAGTTGCCATCACATAATGATAAGATGAACCAGCAATCCTTTACTGAGGCTACTAGGTGGCCAGCAGTGTGTTGGGTGCTGGGACTCCTCAATTCCTGTTCTTGAGTTATTTGCTCTAAGAAAAGAGCTGAACAAGGCTTGGTGCCTGTAGCTCAGCAGCTAGGGTGCCAGGCACATACACTGGAGTTGGTGCGTTTTAACTCAGCCTGGGCCTGCCAAACAACAATAACAGATCTGTGTCATTGATCTCTACAACAACAACAAAAATAGCCAGTCATTGTGGTGGTCACCTGTAGTCCCAGCTACGTGGAGGCTGAGGCAAGAGAATTGCTTAAGCCCAAAGGTTTGAAGTTGCTGTGAGCTGTGATGCCATAGCACTCTACCAAGGGTGACCTAGCAAGATTCTGTCTCAAAGAAAAAAAGAGCTGAACAAATAAGACTGTAATTTTATCCTGTAGGATTCTTCAAATCAGTTGGAGTTCATGCCAATGGAACATTTGAAGTGTTTTGTTTTTGTTTGTTTTTGCTTTTCTATGTATTTTATGAGATCAAAATGAGATCAAAAGCTAGTGGGATGTCTCTGAGTGTTCTTTCTGCTACTTTAGGAAAGAATTTTGTTTTAGTTCTGTTTTCAGTAGAAATAATTGTAAATTCTGAGCTGTACAGAGAGCCTTCATGAATAATAGATTCAGGAATAATTCTATCATAGTTACAAGGTTTCCTTGGTCTGGAAAAAAAAAGTGATTCGTTAAATGCCAAATTATTGATCATATGGTATACCAAAGGCTAGCCTTTAGGGAGAAATTGTTCCACATTATTACAAAGTGATTTCTTTATTCAATCAATAGTTGACCATCTAATCATTGAGCTGGGTATTCTAAGAACATAAATGCCATTTTCTTCAAAAGTTGAGCATAATAATAATTGTTATAATTTTGATGAAGTCTTACCAGGTGCCAGTCTTTAATCCTCCTAACAACCCTTTTGAAACAATCAATACTATCCATTTAATAAGATAGATGAAAACTGAGGCTTCAAAAACACACTGAGAACATATACAAAGTCATATAATTAGCAAGTGACTGACAGAGGTATTTTTGTCATCAAAGCTTGTAATTTAACCACTGCTCTAACCTGTCTCCTTTAGATTTAATATGAGAACTGAAATTTACACACAAGTAAAAATGAAGCATTTCTAATTAATCTTATCAGAGGCAGCCTCTTGCTCTCAGAGCTGTACGTATATTTTTCAACTGTCCTTACTGTTGGCAGGTGTTTATCCTCCAATAGTGAACTTGACTTCTGAAAACAGCCCAATGTCTTTGGCATCAAGCCTGGTGGATGTGGTGGTTAATACCACTTCCATTCTAAAATGTGGTGAGATTGAAGTATTATCACTGGCTTGAAAATGTTTCCAAGTGAGGCATTTGGAAATACTTTATTTTATTAAAATAACTTTATTGATATATAATTCACATATCATACAATTCAATCATTTAAGGGGTACAATTCAGTGGCTTTTGTATATTCCCAAAGTTGTGTAACGGTCACTGTAGCCAATTTTAGAACATTTTTAACCACCCCCCGAAACCTTATACCCCTTATGGTAGCCACTAGTCTACTTTCTGTCTCTACTGATTTGCCCATTCTGAGCATTTTATATAATCAGAGCTGTTTTACATGTGGTCCTTTGTGATAGCTTCTATTTTGTTTCTAACCACTCTAATGAGATGTGATTGACATATAATAGCTGTAGAAATTCTATATGTTTGAAGTTAAGTGTACACTCATGAAACCATCATCACAATCAGTGCCAAGAACTTATCCATTACACCCTGATATGTTCTGCTCATTTATTTCTTTTTTGCTTTGTTTTGTTTTCCTTGTGTGGTAAGAGCACTTAACATCAGATGTATCATTTTTTAGCAAATTTTTAAGTATAGAGTATGTTAATCTTACATCTTATGTTGGACATTAGATCTCTAGAGCTCATATATTGTGTATGACTGAAACTTTGTCTCCTTTGATCATCGCTTAGCCATCGTGGAAGAAAGTGTTGACTCTGCGGAGACAGCTGTTGTGAAGGGACCTTGTGGATGCCCATTTCTAGCCAATGATGATTCTCTCATTTCTTTGTATCCCTGATGCTGAAGGAATAAATGACTGTCCCATGGGCTGGGTCCAGTGCTGGGATCTGATGACAGCAGACTATGGGTTGATAGCACAGTGACACACTGTCATCTCCTGCACATCAGAGAGTTGCACCCACCTCTTTCATTTTGTCATTGTTTTAGTGCAGGATGCTGGGGGTCTAACCCGGGCTTTGGCCCTTCCAGGATGGCAGGTGGCTCTCCCAGAGTGCCTCCTCCTGCTCCCTCTTACTCACATTGGCTGAGTGGCTAGAGGTCTGGGCTCTTTCCACTGGTCCCAGGTCATGCCAAATGCAGCCTCTCCTTGCATCTCGACAGACAGAAACAACTCCCCCAGCGGCAAGCCAGACTTTGAGGATTTTGCTTCAAGAAACTCCCCACAGCTATGTTTCACTTGGAATTTCAAGGCTTCCATCTCCCTTCTGTCCTGCCCCTTTGTCAAAAGCTCATAATCTGTAGTCCACGTGACCTCTGCAATGGATTTAACCTCCCAAGATCTTTGTTTCTCCATCTCATCCAGTTGTTATTTGAAAGAGCATAGATGTGGCTGCTTGACTAGGCATGAA